CAAATCGAAAAACTCAAACTCTCAGGGGTCAAACAACACATCCAAAAAATCGAATAGCATTTCGAATGAAAACAACAACGCAAAAGAAACCAACACGAGCAAAACGACAAATAGTTCTGATGCAAACTGTCTAAATTCGACCGAGCTAAGCAATAACGGGAGTTGGGCAAATGGGAACGGAACTCAGTGTTCGAAATCTACGACTACGAAGGAGCCCAGTAAAATTTCGAAGATAGAAGCAAAAAGCAAGGGCTTTTTTGAGTCGCTCATAACACCGCCCTGGTTATATGTTTGGGCTGGGGTTCTGGCTCTGATTATAGCCCTAGTTTTACTGTACTGCTGTTATAGATTGTATCTGAGATTGAAAAGCAACAAAAAACGAGACATGTATCAAGAAATAGCGAGCAAAACGAAACGAGAAACACTAGGCAAAGTTGATCTAATTTTGGACTATGATTACACACAAGCAAGGCTCGGAGTTGAAGTTCTGCAGCTTCGTGATTTGAAATTCGGTCGAAATCAAGTGGAGGAAAAAGATCTGGAAGTTTACTGTCGGGTTTACCTGTTGCCAGACATAAATAAGTATCAACAGACTTTGACAAAGAGCAAAAGTTTCAGTCCTACTTTCAATGAGCAGTTTTATCTTCGCTGTGTCATCGACCAGTTAGATTACAGGCAAGAATTGATTATCAGTTGGTTGACAATATTGGAAAGCTAATCTTACTCTTGAGTAGAAAAATCATCAATTTCAACGATAATTATTAAATCAAATGCGTAGCTTACTTGACACATTTAAGTTCGTTTGATTCATTTGATTCAAAATCATGGGCTTGTTTTTTTTTCGTAGGCTTTTTGAGAAACCATTTTTTTTTTAATTACAAAAGCAAATCCACCTTCAAATTTATCAAAGACCAGCACAATTATCAAAACTCGGGACTTAAATTTGAGCATAGTTCACGAAAAAAATAGTCCGGCTAGATTTCAAGATGAATCTGACTTGGGTTGAAGCTTGACGTTTGCTGTGATTGCAGGAAGGTGTTAGTGAGAGTGTACCGTCACTTCAAGTTCGTGCGGGATGCCCCCATCGGAGACGCCGTCCTCTCCCTCTCCAAAACAGACCTTCAGTTAGGATTCTCATCCATACCCATTCTAGGTAAGCTTAGAAGTCCTTTACGATAGCTGAGTGTTCTATTATTGAATCTTATCTTTCTTGTGAACTGTGGTCTTCTGTAATACGGCCCAAAAATGATATTTTTCATAATTCGAAAACTGGAGCATAATGCTCAAATCTGATTGGTTGAAATTATTTCCAGCTAAAGATTATCTAGATTCTCAACCAAAATAAAAGCATATTGATAGTTTTAGGCCGTATAACAGAAAAGACTCAACCCTGCAAATTCTTCAAAACAAATCTCCTCCGAGCTTTATTTGCGGCAACTTTTGTCAGCCATTTTGCAGACTCCGGGTTGGTGTGCCGTTTGGGAACAATTTTTTGGAATTCGAACTGACCGTTAAGTCTAAAATCTAGCTATGGTTATTGCTTTTCACAGGAAGTTCTCCAGTAGTTTTATATTTTATTTTGGAAGATGAACATTTTTATTGAATTTGTCTTGTGGTCTAAATGCAAAAGCCTTTTATTGCCTGTAGACTACAAATTTTTCTATTATAGCCCACAACCCCTCGCTAGACGACCCGTTGGGTGAGATAAGCGTCACTCTACGGTACAATGCCAACACTCAGAAACTGGGCGTGACCATAATCGAGTGCAAGGACTTGAAGCCCAGCTTCGGGGGATCAACGGACCCCTATGTAAAGTTGACGATGAAGATGGGCAACAAGATTGTGAGGAAAGACAAGTCAGACGAACTGAAGAAGACGAGGAGTCCCTACTTCAACGAGGTCTTCTCTTATAAGATCCCCCCCAACAAAATGGGACTGGTCGATCTTCTCATTCAGGTAAACCGAACATCTCTTCCTTTCTTTCCAAAGCAAATATTTTTACAATTATTCCATGCCAATTACTCTTTCTCTTTCTCATCGAAAATTTATTTCCATTATTTTGTAGTTTTTTTCATACGCAACCTCAGCGAGAGATATTTTGCGGAAGGATTATGCCTGCTGTTTCGTTTTTGAGTTAAGCCGTACTGCTAGTGAGCCCATCTAAACTTTGTTAATTTGTGAAACTTTCGATTGCTTTTTTTTTATTTTTATTAGCCGCAATATTTCGAATAAAGTTCAAGTTTCATATATGGCATGTACTGGATTCAATATAATTTTTGCCGAACAAAGATGTTATAAATTGACTGATATGTTTTCAACAAAAGATTACCCAACCAAACCTTCGCGGAATAATTTCAGCTCATTTTCACTAGTCCTGCTTGCCGTTCCATATGAAAGAACATCATATTGAAATATTGGTTGTAGGAAGCTTTTGTTTGGCTGGATATTTTTTCTAAATTGCCATGAATTCAATTTTTCCCTCTATATGTAAAAATTTCGAAATTTTATTTTTTTTGAGAAATCATATAAGTCATTTGAGTTCAATTTTTGGTTTTCGTGTTTTCCTAGCAATTTGAATGTTGGATAAATATCTATTTCCTTTTTTTCAGAATTTATTGATTTAAACTGTTTTGTTTTGTTGGTGTTAAGAGATGACTTATTTTCCACCAGTCAATGAAGTTTTGTACTATTTACCTGCTGTAAATATAAATTGCGCTTTTTGTTGCTCCGATTTCTTGCATGAGCTGTATTGTCTCTGTAGAGAATAGTATCATCAATGTTTAGGACAGATTATTACAATCGCCTATTTTTTCTACAAATGAAATATTGCGTGAAAATTGCAAAATAGTCTAAATAGGCCAACAAAGGCCAAATAAATATGAAGTACAGACATACTGTAAACAAATATGTTGCAAGTCATCAAAATCTAACGAGTAGTGTGAAGTATCAACTGGGGCGCGAAAAAAGCAACTCATTCATGTATATGGGTACATGTTGTGAAATATCTTATTTAATTATTATCTTTAGGTAAAGATAGATATATCGATTACTCCTAACCTCAAAAAATTGCAGATGGGTCCATGAAATTTTTTACATGAGTTCCATCATGTCCAATAAACCAACTGATGTGCTGATAAATCAGGTTTCACAGCTAGATTACACCGGTGACTGGTACATCTGATAACAGGAATGTTGAGTTTCTGCAAATTGCTCATATTTGTGCTGTAATTGTCCCCAGTTAAAAAGCCTTCATCAAAACTCTCTCTAATTAAAAAAATGGCCTCAATGTGACTAATTGCCTCGGAACTAAATTTATGGTGATGAAAAGGCCAGTAAAGCAATCGTTCCGTATCCGGAATCAAAATTTATGTATTTTGAAAAAAATAATATTAAAAAATGAGAAAGTGCTGGTTTTCTTCCAACAAATAATGAAAAGAAAATTATCCAGCAATTCTGCTTTGATTTTAAGCCCAACCTGCTCCTTAGTGAGCAGCAAAAAGTTCGTAAAACTCAGGCGTGACAGTTTATCAAGACGAGAAATATTATTATTATTTTTCTCGTGTTCTAAAAATGTAAACAGTAAACCATTTGAAACAAAACAACCTATCCAACCGAACAATTTTTCGGCAAATGAATTAATCATTTTTGCCTAGAGGCACTGAAATTTCATTCAAGAGGAAGGATACGCTGACATAAAATGGCTGGTTAAATTGTTCAAAATCAGAATAATGAGATAGTGGTTAGTGTACCTTGACCCGAACGCAAGTAATGCTCTACTCACAATTATTCTTGCATAACTTTGTCAAACGTGCCCTGATTTTAGCGAGGGTAATTTTCTCACTCTGCCGTATAACTGTGATTGAGTTTGAACCTTTCTTGTTACCGAGTACAAAACTAGGTCTCAAAGTCTCCGCAGCTAACGGCAAACTTGAGCACTAACCGGGTAGTTTTCTCAATGAAACTGACCAACTCGAAATGTCACTCCAATATGGCATATGCCCAAGACTACCTTGGTCATTTTTCATGATAAGCCTCAGAGATGTAGATTTTTCAATCCATTAAACTTTTTGCATGAGTGCTTTTATTCTCCAATAAATTGACTGATGTCCTGATAATTCATGTTTCACAGCTGGATTATACCGGTGACAGGCAGATCCGATAAAAGGAATGTTGAGTTTCTGCAAGTTGCTCATATTTATGCTGTAATTGTCCCCAGCTAATGAGCTTTCATCAAAAAACCTCTAATAAGGATAAACTGGCCTCAATGTGACTATCTGCCTCGAAACTTGTTTTATGGTGATAAAAAGGTCAGTAAAGGAAACGATCCGTACCCGGAAACAGTTTCATGTATTCAGCTAAACAACCGATAAAAAATGCTGGTATCCGTTCAAACACCAATAATGAAAAAAATATATCCTGCATTTCTACTTTGATTTTAAGCCCAACCAGCTCTGTAGTGAGCAGCAAAAAATTCGTAAAATTCAAGCGTGACAGTTTATCAAGACAAAAAAAATTGTTGTTCTTCTCCTGTTCTAGAAATGTAAACAGTAAACCATTCAAAACAATACAATCTAGCCAACCGAACACTTTTACGCCAAGTGGAGTAACCATTTCTGCCTAAAGACACTGAAAACTCATTGAATAGGAAGGATACGCTGACTTAAAATTTCTGGTTAAATTGTTATAAATCAATCAGATCGCACGATTTTGTTCGGCCCCACATTTGCAATGCAAATATACTGCTGCGAGGAGTTATAATCCGCTTCTAAAAAAGTGTCACGTTTTATTTGTTTCCTGGCATGTATGAAAGAAGGATGTTTGAAATCAAAACGGCAAAAATTTCCTGTGAGAACAAATGAAATCATTCTAGAGAAGTTGGCAATAAAAATTGAAAAATGAGTCTTTTAGCAGACCAACGTAATAAAGTGATGGATGATTGATTGACAGACTCAAAGAGACGCTCAATCTGGGGCCAAGCATCCCCAATTAAGTCAATTATCTCACAATTTGTCAACAAAACTATCAACTTCAAAAGCACAACAGTCTAAATTAGCGTCAAAACAAAGAATTACGCGCACAATAACACTCGCGTTGAATTGAAGCGCAGCAGAGCAAGCGGTCGCTAGTCGCCAATACCGCGCTTGAAGTTAGCTATCACAGGTTATAATTTTTCTGAGTCTGCTAAAAAACCCGCCTGCTAAATTCCCTAGCACCTGAATAAAGATTCATAAAATCATTGATTTTCTTGTGTATGCGTACCTGCACTGGAGTTTCATGGGATATAATCGATTATAAAGGATTATAATTTCGACAGTATAATCGACTTTGACAGTATAATCGTTTTTCTTAAACCAAAAAAATCCATGAGAACCACTTTTTTCTGCAGAAAACTGTTTACAGCTAATTAAACACTTGAAACTTTTGAAATTGCAAGTTTAGAACCCGAAAAAAAAACATGTTCATTCTTAAGAAAAAAGTTTGCCAGCCTCCTACCCCACGCCCTACCCCACTCCAAGTTTACCAACCCACCACTAATTTATCACTCCACCTTTTACCACCACCACCTCCCCTACCCCCACCACCACCTCATCTACACCCCCACCCCCCACAAACACACACATCCACAATTTTCGTCCCCCGTCACTCCCAAAAGCGCCCACCACCCCGCAACAGCCCGTCCACACGGTGGCGGTAGTATAAATAGGGGGAGGGGGTTGGAGGCCCTGAAATGCACGTTTATGCAAGTCCCAGGTCTTTTCCCTTCATATTCCCACGTAGAACCATTCCCCCACGTCTTCAACCTCTTCCAAGTTAGAGGAGAGGGGGCTAGTGGGCAAAGGTAATTTTTTACTATGGGGATGGTAAAAAAATAACAGTTAAATAAAATGTATGTTGAACTGCCAAGTTGAAAAACTAGAGAAACTTAAATGTATAAAATCTTATGTGAAAAATTTAAGTTTATGACTTGTAATCCGTAGCAACTGCACTAAACAGGAAGTGAGATAACTCTGCAAAATTCACCAATAACCTCTCAAAAAATCCATTATAATTGATTGTAATGGATTATATTGATTAAAAATATGATGTTTATAATCCATTTCTAAAGACAAAAAACATAATTCCCATAATATGAAAATGAAAAGGATATATGCTTAATGAAAACGTATCTTCCCATAATTTGTTATTTGCTAAATTAAGTCACAATAAAGAGAAGATTATTATACAAAAATTGCTAGCTTTGTGAACTTTTCAGGAGAATCGAACCAAATTGGCAGTATTTAGAGGCTCCAAATGGAGTTACTAGACCCCAATTAGTGAATCTAAATATGCCTCTGTGACTTAATCTGCTCTGCGAATGAACTGAACTTAATTGTATTTCCAGGTCAAAAACCGAGACTTGTTCGGGTCCAGTCACGAGATAGGGGCGGTGAGGTTTGGGGTGGAGCCGGACAGTGAGAAGGCGGAGAGACAGTGGGAGGCGATGATCACACACCTGCGCAAGCCACAGACACAGTGGCACTACCTGCTACCCTCCCAGAATTAGAACATATGAACAAAGAAGAGAAAATGAGGAAAACATTTTAAAGTTATATAGGAGCTAGTTAGTCAGCAACTCATTCATAGCTACGATAGAAGCATACGCTTTTTGCAAAATGTGAACAAGGAGATCAGCTATTGGACTTAAAAATTTGAATCTTGCAAACAGCGAAATTTTGTAAATGAAATTTTGAATAAGGTTGTAAATGAAAAAATGAATTGATTTTTATAAATAATGATTGTTAGCGATACACAGACAATTGAGGCTATTGTTTATCAAAGTCTGGCGACAACTCGCATCAAGCCGGAAAACGCCGCAAATATGAACAATACTGCAAGTATCAGGGCAACTCCTTAAATGGTTCAACTGCCCTTTAATTTTTATTTTTTCAAGCCAAAACTTACAAGCATAATTCTATGAAAATGTACATTCACAAAAAAAAGTTTGGCTCGGGAGATCACCAAAAAGGCATCAGCCTGTCGGGAGGCATCTTCATGAGCAAAATCAATTCGTCAATTTTTAAACTAAGATCATATAGACAAAAGGACTTAAAAGATCACAAAAAAACTAAAAGAGAAAAAATATCTGTTTGTTTTGGTGTTGTCTAACAATCAAAATAAAATTAGCAAAAATACTACAACAAGTGATGGAATTTTACCAAAACAAACTTAGAAAATGTTTGTTGTCACAGTTATGTCTTTTATTTTATGAAAAAAAAACAAGTCCAAAGATTCATTGGTAGTTGTTAATGCTTCAAGAGGAAATTTTTAATCTAAGTGTAAGTGTAATTTTTTAATCTAAAACACAAATCCTACACTCGATTTTTTAAAGCTTTTGTAGTTAGCTTATTTCAGCTGCGACGTTTTTTTTCTTGTATTGCCTGTTTTGGTAGTATCTGTTATCTTCTATTCATTTATGTAATCATCAGGTTTTTTATTTCCACAACATCGACTTATAATTTTAATCATGAGTTTAAAAAGCTCATATACATGTAACTCTCGAACCAAACAGAGTTCATGCTTGTCCCGAACATGTTTTAGAGTTTTCCTTTTTTTAATTTTAAAACAATTGCTACACAGGACTCTTTGCTGGCTTTCTAATCTTTTTATGTCTGTTTCATTATTGGTGCCATAGATCAGTACACTATTTTGATCCATTGGTTGAGTATACAATTTGTATATCTTGTGCATTGTTAATGTGTTAAAACAAAATCTGAGTTGATAGATCATCGATCAATGTTTGGCTACCTTTTTCAAAGTTTTACTGATATGTGTTTTGAAATTTATTATTTCATTACTAGACACAAGTTCCTAATGGGTCTTTTGCTAGCGAGTTTCTTCCTGTTAATTTCTAAGGTGGCTGTTTTATATTTGGTTCTGGTAACCTTTTTCTCCAAAAGCCATTTTTCAATTTTGCTTGTACAAGAATTCACCTGCGGCTGATTTCCTGTTTTAGCGGTTGTAAAAATGCGCAATCATCAGCAAACAGTGCAATTTTATTATGCCTGCTTATGTTAGCAAACTATTTATATAGAGCAATAACAACAAAGGACCCAGGACGGAATTTTGTGGTACACCATAGTAGATTGTTTTACTGTCTGATGTTGAAGTATTATAACTAACGTACTGCTTACGATTTTTAAGTTATGAACTGGAAAGACTAAAAGTTTTTTATCGTAAGCCGTAGAATTGGCAGTTTCCAGTAGAATTTTGCGATCAACTGTGTCGAACGCTTTTGTAAGATCTATCACCGTACACACGGAGCCAACATTATTTGCTAGGTTCTCCCTTATATGTTCACTGAGTTCTATGATAGCATCAATTGTATTTTTTTTATTTTGGAAGGCGTACTTACATGCTGTTAATACATCATATTTTTCAGAAAATTTTTCAAGCGAACATTAATCAAAATTTCTGAAATATTCCCCATAATTGGTGTTATTTTTTTATCAGGTTGTTACTTTTTTTTCCTCAGGTTGTTAATTATTTCATAAAATAATTGGGGTGAATTGGTTTCGAAAAATTTTGTATTTTGATTCTCTACAACATTTTAAAAATTTTGTGGTGTTGTATTAGTTTCGATTAGTTTCTGACCAATTTCAAAAAAAATCGTTTAATTCTTCCTTCTGCACTCGGAATGTTGTCGTTTGAACTCACTTGACATTTGTTTTTTTCTAACCTCACCTATGACTTTATAGAAGTTTTTCGAACTTTTATGGCTTTTGTTTTCAAAAGTTCTCTCAAAGAAAAAAACTTTTTGATTTTCAACACAAGCATTTCAATTTTTTTCGTTGCTCTTGAAACTTAATAAGATTATAATCATTCGTTTTGTTTAGATTTTTTTTTTACAATTCAACGTTTTTTACTCGCATTTCAAACTTAAGCTGTTATTCAATTTTCCTATCCCAAAGTTCAAGATTTTGTTTTTTAAGCCAAAATTTGTTTTCAGTTAGAAATGGTGCTTCACATTCTACCACCTCGAGATCCGATATTAAGTTGTGTTGGCCATGACCTGCGAATAAATAGTTGGTAACAAATACATCTATTGTTGACTGCTTTTAGTTTTTGGAGTACTTTCATTTTTCAATTATTTAACTCACACAGCAGCAGGCTGTTTTCAAAGTTTAGAGAGTCACTTGTCGACTTAGATTTATCAACAATCATGTCTCCACATGCAGAATGCACATCTTTAGGCTGCAATTTGAACACAATGAGCTTGTAAAAGATCAAGAAACTTTCAATTGTTCGTTTGAGGTACTTTAAAGATAACAGTTATAAAACTTTTCTCGCCGACTTTTTCGCATGAAACAGTCCAAATTTGCATTTCAAGTGACATCAGTTCTTTAAATTTAGTATACGAAAAACTTTCGCTTACGTAGAAAGCAACACCTCCACCGCGTCTGTTCCTATTCACTGTTTCTATAGATTGACAACCTTATAATTTGGAAACACCAAACTCCATACAATATTTCAACCATGTTTCAATAAGAGCTTCAATTTGCGGTTTATTAGTATTAGTTTCGAGAAGAAGCTCTAAGGAGTGATGATTTTGCGCTAATGAGCAAATATTTTCAAAAACAATGGACATTCGCCTTCAGGTATTACTTTTCTTTCTGAAATTTTCGTGTTATTTCTATGGCCAATATTCTTTTAGATTATGATTTTTGATAATAATTAATCATAATTTCAGAAGCAATTTTTGTATTATTAACCAGATTTTTTTCACTTTGCAGTAATTTGATCAAGAGTTTGCCGAAAATCGCAATCTGATTCAAGTAATAACTTTTTCTTAGTTCTCAGCAATTATACTCATAGTATGAAACAGTCTGGAAACTAAGCGGTTTTGAACTTCGAAGCAGCAGACATTGTGTCCGAGTTTCGGTAGTCTTGTAATTCTCGACGGATAACTCTTGATCTTGAGTTTTAGATCGTGGATGATGTTCTGCTATCATCTCTTTCGGGTCTTCTAATAACAGGTTCGGGTTGATATTCTCGTCAAAATTTTCCGATAAAGTCGAACAAAATCGAACAACGTCAAACAAAAACGACCAATGTCCGGTAAAGTCGAACAAAGTCGAAAACGGACATCGTTCGACTCAAAAAATCGCAATCGGACATCGTTCGACTGAAAAAGTCTAAAACGGACATCGTTCGACCGTTTCGGTCGAATCATGAGTCGAGCACCTCAGCCCGGGCAACAATGAAGAAATACTCTAACCAAACTTTAAATTGTCTCAGTGAGTCTAAACTTGCGGTTGACGAGGCGTGTAATAAGAATCCTGTTGGTTGCGCCATGTGATACCACAAGGAATTCAATCAGTCAGATGTCAAAAAATGTACTTTAAATAGTGAATTTACTAAGTTCGAACTATCTTTTTTGAGGACCTGATGCCGAGTCGTAGCTCTTTTTTTAAACACTTTGACCTTAAGCAGGCGTTTCAATGCCCCCCCCCCCCCCGCCAATAGTCTCTAGGACTGCGTAATATGTTATGTTTAAAGGTTTTTACATAACAATATACATCAAGGTTACCGCCTAAACAGCTAGTACTACAATAACAAAAAACGCAAGTCATAATATTCTCAATTATAGATAGATCTTTATCATACAATTCCATACCACTCTATAGAAGACAAGTTATATGAAATAGCTTGACCAGCATTTTTTGTTCTATTGATGAAATTGATATTTCTCAGTTTTTAGCTTTTAGGAACCCGCCTTATCAAAAACGCCCCTCTCAGTTTTCCGCTTTCCCTCCTTCCTCGTCCCCCCACCATCATTATGCCAGTCGACACACAAAGTGTGCATTAATTAACTTTCAACTATAGTATGAATCACCAGCGTTATCATAATGAACCTTCAAAAACCTAATTATAAGTTTCAATGAAACATACAAGCATTCATTACAAAGTAACAACTCTTCTTTGTTTTGAACTCACAATTGAAAGTGGGAGGGTGTAAAATTTATTCACAAAAACAATCAGATTCAGTAGGCAAACAGAAAAACGACAATCCTTTGTCGGCGAATCAGTAAACATCTTGAAACACAAAATCATCAAATTGGAATGTGAGTTAAATCTAATAATAAATTGAACTAACTGCTTAGCTTGACTATTGAAAGTTTGATTATTACTGACTTTGTTAGAATTATTTAGACATGTCATCTTCAACTGAAGACCATGAACCGTTCGCTACGACAAACGGCAAGTCCGATTCGAGTCAAGCCGACACTGAATACAGCACGGGAGACCCGAGATCAAGATACGATTCACACATGATCATAAAACGACGAGAGGTGAAACGCGAGTCCAAACTAGTAATAGCGGGACTCGGTACAAAACGAGTTTCGAAAACGTCTGAGTCGGGTTTTGATGACGGCCAGTCTATACGAACCGGATCCCCGACTGGCTCAACGTTATCGGGATTTTTCCCAGCTCGCAGTAAGAAATCAAACGAGAAAATAGACAAAAAGTGGCTGGAAATTATGGCCAACTCTCAAAACCGACATGATGTTACGGCTCAGAAACTTTTGAACAAAAAGTTTAACATTTATCAGCAGCGGAGCAACACGCCTTCTGTTCGCAAATTCAACAGCGAGCGTAAAATTCAGAGAGTAAATGACCCGAAGTCGAGTTTCGGCTCTGAAGTTCTTTCGCTTCCAAAGCGAGAAAACTCTTTGTTGCGAAGTTACTCCGAGAGCGATATTTCACAAGTGCCAACAACCAACTCTTCAGTGCCCGAAGCCTCAGAAACCGACATTCGAGTTACGGAATCTGAGATGTCTGGAACTGATTCTGACAAACATACAGCCAGCTTGGAAATGACTGGAAGTAGCCAAGAACATCAAAAAGGACGAACTGGGAGTTCGCATTTATCTGTTGGATCAGTTGACATACAAATTACAGGACACACGATTGACGGGCCCAGCACCCAAACTATTGTCCAGAACGACAACGGTGGAAACAGCGATTCGGTTCATACAAATGGTGGGCAAACTAGCATCCGAGTAAATTATGAAGATTGTTCCAAAACGAGGACTGTTGATCCTGCAACTGGTCAAATCATTATAAATATCGTAACTCCTGCCAGTCGTTACGACGACTCAAACGTGCAGTTTAAAGATTCTTCGGGAGCTGCACCTGGTGCTCAGAACGAGGCGTCTCGTATCGAAGAAACGAAAACAAATGACACTTCGGTTATTTCTGTGCCTCCGCGAGCCAATCAACAAGCAGCTGGACAGTTCGTTTCGACGAACGAAGGAATTCCGCTCATTAAGCCTAAAAAGAAGAAAAGAGGCTGTCGGTGTTGTTTCTGCTGTACGTGTAGGTGTGGTGTTTCAGATGACGAGGATTTCTGAGCACAAGTGTCGTTTTTTCAAAACAAGTTGAGAAAAGACTAAAGAAAAGATGGGAAATGATTTTGGTTTGACTTTGTAGATTTTCGAATTTTTTCAAGCTACCTGAAAACCACATTTTTAAAATAAAATTGATCTTTTTGAAGCAGTCGTACTTTATCTTTTTTCGTCGTTGGTTTTGTCCGAATTGTATACGAATAAATCCCTCACGACAGAAATACTGAATTATTGAAGTCATAATGTAGAGAGTATCCGAAAACTTAAAGAGTGCAAAACCGACTTGAATATTAGACATTTCAAGGAGTGAAATTAGTTGACTGAGGAACTCAGAGACATTTACAGAGATTCTTGATTTCTTGCAGATGATCAGTTTTGCGGCTTTTAAGGACAAACGCTGGGCAAAAAAATTTGGTTGCCGAGAGATTTGAAGGAACGAACGAAAAAAAAACAATGTTAGCGACTTATGTGTTTTTTTTTAGAAACACGTGAATTTAATATTTGAATATAATGTAGGATGAAGTATGTATTTTTTTACGAAATAATTTATCTGTCCAACAATATATAAGATTGAGCATGTTCAGGCATAGTTATAGTGGAATCATGTGACTAAACTTTTTGATTGACTTGGTCATATATTTTGCATTTCTTGCTGTAGACCGAAATGTGATTGCAAACATAAGTTTTGGAAAAATTTATAATTTCCTTTGAATTAATTTAATCCGCAATTTAGACAATATTGAGTTTTATTACTTCCTCGATAGCTTAGTTGCACCTTCTCCAAGTTCGAGACACCAAATCTTTTATACAGAATTTTAGGCATTTTAGGCTATGTTTTAATCCTAGATTTTTTAGTGGTACTTTAAACAGCGCAATTTTATTCATATGTCCATTAAAAAATTATGAAATCCAGCGAAATGGATTATTTGTCCTAAAACTGTATCACATCAATCTGAAACACTATATACATCTGTTTTGAAGTAAACAGCGCAAATATTTTTCCAGAATACTTAAACATACTACTAGTATGACTATTTTCATCATTTTTTTTGCCATAATGTATGAAAAACAAACGTGTTCAGATTCGTAAATATTTGATTATGAAAACATTTCAGCACATTATCACAACTTAAAAATTAGCAAAATCTGCAAAACGATTGTTAGGGTAATGAAAAAAGCCTCAATGGAAAACTGTAGAATTTAATGACAAATTACTTAGAGCTGTCATTAGGCAATTAAATTTTGCGCAGTGAAAAAAAAATGTTGAATAGCTTTCTTTATTATTTAGCATCTACAGCGTAACATCACGCATTTTTTTGAAAAATTCTTTAAAATTGTTAACTACCTAAGTCCTCAAAAAGGACCTTATTTTGATTGGTTTTTTAACTTTTCAAAACTTCTCATAATGAAATCAAAAATTTACGGACAGAGAAAAACTACAAGGAATTCTAAAAAAAAATAATTCAATTTGATTGCTTTCATGAGTGTTTCAGCTTATATACTTTTTGCTATCTTTCAGTTTATAAGAATACTATTTTCGCATGCTTCTGAAAATCTGATTTCATTTTGTTTCATGTTTCCAATAATTTCGATTTCAAATCGAAAGTATTGAACGCATGAAACAAAATGAAATCAGATTTTCAGAAGCATGCTAAAATAGTATTCTTATTATTAACTAAATAAAAACATAATTAGCTAGCTGGTCTTTTTTCAAGTCATTTTAAGCAAACATGAAAAAGATGATTGGCTTGTCGTTTACTTTATCAGGCCTCGGAAATAATTTTTTCTTCAAAGTTCGAGCTCGAAAATTGATAAATTAAAAACTATTTCAAATTTTGAGTATAATTAGTCACGCTGATTTAAATTAATAAGGAGACATGAAGTTAGACAATAAGCAAACTAGACTTCAATAATAAAATGAATCTCAGACAGTCCATTTTTTGCAAAACTGTGTTTTGAACGAACAGCAAAAAGCTAACAAAATAATTGCATAAAAAAGTTCACAAATCTAAAAAAAAAGATTATTTTCAATCCTTTGCATATAAAAATAGTTTCGTTAAATGATTAAAAAAATTATGAAGCCGAATTAATATTGCGCTTAAACATATTAAATAACGTGAAAATTTTGTATATAAGAATATGAGAAAACAGCAAAACGAAGGAAATAGACGGGGGCATGCAACAGCTTTTTTTTTAAATTTCGAAAATTGAACAAAAAACTTCCACTCAAAGGAGGCCAAATCTAATTGGAGGCAAACTCTGCAAATTGAAAGAGCAACCTGAGGGCATCACACTATATATGGGGTTGAGAATTTCAAAAATTGTGAAGTTTTGTTTTTTTAAATCAAATTTTTTGCAAAATCTTCAAAAACCATTACAACAACAATTCTCAAAACAAAAATTAAGAGAGCAGTACAACTTGGAAGCAAGAACTGCAACTGCTGAGAGATCCCTGAAAGAACCCATATGTAGCATTAGGATTGATTTAATTTTGCTTAAACTTGTTTCAATTCAAGTTTTTTTTGAAATTTATTGAAAAAGCATCAAATCTCGGAAGTAAAAGGGTTTCACCAGTCAAATTTGGAGGAATGATTTGAATTCCCTGCAACTAACCTGGCAGCTCCCAGCTTGGAAATTTCAATTTTTGAGAAGTTTTTTTAATCTAAGTTCTTTAAACTTGAACCACAAATAAAAAACCACAAATCCAAAACGTGGAAACTAAAAGCATTGAGCAGTCACTTTTAGAGGCAAAGTTTGTTAACCCTGAAAGTACCCTGTCAGCAACCAACTACAGTGTTCAGAACTTTAAATTTTATGAAACTTTGTCTATCTAAGCTTTCAAAAAACCTTTGAAAACATCATCAAAATCGTCATATCTCAGAATTGAAAAGCATTGGTGTAGTCGCATCCGTAGGCAAAATTTGAAACACCTGAAAGTACTTTGACAACACAGTTGAAGTTTTAATTTTTGTGTAATGTTTTTGATTCATTTTTTTCAATGTTCAAAATTTGAAAAAAACATAAAAAGTAATAGCTCGGAAAATAGAGGATTTCACCAGTCACGCTTGGAGGAAAAATTTGAACTGCTTTCGACCACCCTGGCAATTCCCAGTCATAAGGGTTCTGAAGTTCCAACTGTGTGATAATTTTTTGATCTCAGTTTTTTGGAAATTTTTGAAAAAATCATAAAAAACATCATATTTCGAATTCAATAAAAGTTTTAACACACTTATTTGATGAAAAGATTTGTAAGTACCCTGACGGCAACCAACTACAGGGTTGTGATTTTCAATTCTTAAATCGTTTTTTTTTACAATAACAAGTACTTTTTAAGTCAATATTTGAAAAAAACCATATAAACGCCAAGTAAAAAGGTCTGAGCAGTCAAATTTGCAGGCAAAAACTGCAACCACTGAGAGTTCCTTGAAAACAACCCATTGTAGGATTAGAAATCTCAAGTTATATAATTTTGTTTCACTTCATTTTTTTAATTATGAAAAAAAAATGTCATATTTCTGAACTAAAAGGATTTTACCGGTCAAATTTGGAGGAATGGTTTGGATTCCCTGCAAATTACCTGGCAGCTCTCAGCTATAAGCTTAGGAACTTCAATTTTTGGGAAAAAAATTAATCTAAATTCTTCAAAAATTTATGAAAAAACCACGAAGTCAAAACGTGGAAACTAAAAGCCTTGAGCAGTCTTTTTTCGAGGCAAAAATCGTCAACCCTGAGAGTATCCTGTCAGCAACCATCTACAGTGTTGAGAACTTCCAATTTTATGAAAGTTTGTAGTTTTAAGCTTTCAGAAAACTTTTGAAAACAGTATCAAATACGTGATATCTCAGAAACTAAAACAATTTTAATGCTCATAATTGGAGGCAAGATTTGAAGCGCTAGTGTGTATCATGGCAGCACCCAACTACAGGGTTGATAGTTGTGTGAAATTTCTTGTATCTAAGTTTTCTGATTTTTTTTTAAATTAATAAAAAACGTCATATCTCGGAAACTGGAAGGATCTGAGTAGGGATATTTAGAGGCAAAATTTGCAACACCTGAGAATTTTGTGGCAAAATTCAACTACACGGATGGAATTTTCAACTTACGTGAATTTCTCTAGACCTAAATGTTTCTGAAATTTGAAAAAAATCATAAAAAAGGTCCCGTTTTGGATTGTTATAGTATTTGAGTGTTCAAATTTGGTTGCAATACAAGCTACCTCAATACGTCAGGAAGTTTTTTTGACAGCAGCTAACTAGAAGTCGGGATTTCACTTTTTGCGAAATTTTTTCAAATCTAAGTTTTCTGAACTTGTCGTATCTCGTAAGCTTAAACGATTTGGGTCTTCATATTTGGAGGTAAAACTTGCAACACTAAGGGAAACGGTGCCATTATCCTATTGGTTTGCTTATTTCAAACTCAGTAGAATAAAAATTGAATTTAAACTAGAAAAAACAAAAAAATTCGTTAAATATGCAAAAAAGACGTTAAAAAAGTCCAAAGATGACCAGATAAAGAAAGCATTTAAACATATAATAGATGATAAATTATGAAAATTGAGGTCGGAAATTGATACATCGAAAGACTTTCTTAATTGTGAACAAAATTCAAAAGTTAAACAAAACAAGTAGAGCCAGTCATTTGAAGACGCATCTTGTGGAAAGCTGCTAAGTGGAAACTTCAGATAAAACATCAGCCTAAATCAACTGCTCACTCAAAAATGGCATTTCAAAAGTTGCTGTTCAACCTTCGCATTGCTCACTAAAACGCAATTTTAGATGTATTGAGAACTTTTGGCGCATAGCCACAGCTGGACAACGCACAAAGCCTGCACTCGTCAGCTGGTTGTCGTTATTGAGTTTATTTTCTCAAATTTTTATTAAGGCACAAAATACTTGAAAAAAAGCCTCCGCTAAAAGCCAATTTGCATTATGTAAGTTTATTCAGTTTTTTTTAAAAGCGCCGTCAATAAAGTGACAGAACATTCGGCAGTCGTCTTTTAATTTGGAATACTATGAAAGTTGGGTGCAAAATTTCTCAATTTGAGACGAAGTTATCAAGTTGTTGGAACTCAAGCCGAAGCTGAAATAGGCGAGGCACGCCAAAATTAAGAAGGCAATAGAAAACCGAAGGAGTTGTGAGTCGTTCAAGGCTAAGACATTGTTGCTAAAAAAAACATTATAAAACATTAACTAAGCCTGCTTTCGCATCTAAATCAAAACTGCTCTCGCGCAATTTTTTTCTTGCAAACCAGGGCACAGTGAAAGTGACTGATCAAAAGAGAGCGCAGTGAAATAAACTGATCGCATAGGACCGGGCTCGCAAGTTCATTTTAACACAGTCGGAGGTTATGCTATCTTGGAAATTTAATGTCAAAACTTTTACCCAAAATTCAAAGACAAAAAAAAACAGAACCAAAGTCTTTAAAGGATAGTTAAGGCTCCTTAGCTACATTAATTTCAGAGAACAACGATAAAATAACTTTGGAACGTTGTTCACACTTTAATTATATTTAGAAACAAGACTGCTCGTATCAAGGCAAAATCTTGAGTGTTCCGATTGTCAGTAAAATGATCTCATTTAATTTTTGGTTAATGAATTAATGACAAACTATGATTTTTAATCTAAATATTAGGAATCGTGTATGGAATTAATAATAAGATCAACAAGACTGC